CTCTCCGAGGTGCGTTTGCGCGGGGACGCGATGAGCCGGTCATGGCAAGAGTAGGTAACGCGTATAACCAATTCAATTTTTCTTCCACCCGTATTTAATTGATTGCATAGGGGATGTACTGAGTCGGAGCCGGAGCCGCCGGAGCCGGACCATTTTACTCGGAGCCGGAGCCGGAGCCGGAGCCGCCATAACATTTCACCCGGAGCCGGAGCCGGAGCCGGAGCCGATTTTTTTCTCCGGAGCCGGAGCGGGAGCCGGAGCCGTTTGAAATTTCCACGGCTCCGCATCCCTGGTTTCTTCCATCAACCACTTGTGGCCACGACGCATACGAATAGTTTGAATCACGGAGTTGGAAAGGGCATATCAAAATGGAAAACCTTTGCTATTGAGTTCAACATGACGCATGATTAACTCTAAACACAGAACAGTGTGCTTATTCTTAGGGAAGTTAGAAGTCAAAATTATGGGCATCATAAGCTCTAATACCCGTATCGACACTCACTACTTGTTGGTAGTGTTGGTAGTGTTTATATTAGCCACGTGGACGGTGGGTAAGCCCAGCCGGCCTTTGCCCAGCTGGACGGGCTGACACTGGTCAACTTGGACAGTCAACACAGCGTCTGTCGGTTCTGAGCCAACAGTGTAATTCACACACCTCAGCACCCGCGGCCGGCTCGGAGGACGGCTGTTTGCACACGAGACTGGAGAAGAGAGAGGGAGAGAGGTGGAGAGAGGGTGGGATGGAGCAGGTGAACGGGTCCGGGCTCTCAAGGTGGCGGAACGGGGAGGGCACCGGTGCACCGTGCCCCCTTTTGATTTTGGCATTTTAACATTAACCCTATGGGCGTTGCATGGAAAGAATGGGACCAAAAGTCAGTGCCCCCCCCCCCCTTTAATTGAAGGTGTTCCGCCGCTTCTGGCTCTCATGGTAGATAAAATTGGTGATGTGAGGGGAATAAGAGCATAGATAAAGAGAAAAGGGAGGAAGAAAAGATGACGGGAGGGCAGCAAAATGAGACAAACATATGATGAGCAAAGAGAATGAGCAGGATTGAAGCCGGACACAAAGGAAAAGTCATGCTTGCAGGTGACACAAGTGCGATTTTTGCCTTGTTCCATATCGACAGTCAGTACCGATCGTAGGCTCAGCCCCATACCGATGTGCTTCAGGGGTTGGGCGCGCTCCAGTCTCATAATGCACATGGCTAAGCGATCGGACAATTGACCTCGACCCGGGTCGTGTCCGGGAATTTATGACGATCCATCATGTTACCCCTCGATTACAGGGTGACTTGAATGCCAGTGCTTTTACCTATTAACAGTCCAGTTATGAGCGGCGTCTGAGATCGATGAAAGACCGTCGACTCCGCGCTCCAGTGTCTCAACAGCGGTGGACGGCTCAATCAGCCCAGTGAGCCGTATCCTAACGGCTTCGACCGGCGAGCAGGATTGACACCCTAATGACCAGGCGTCGGGGTCACACGCGTAATGTCAGAACGTGCTGATCATCATGCTGAAGACGCCTGAGGATGTGAAAGGCGGACGCCCTGTGTCGACCTGTGATCTGAACGGATGGCAGCCTCCCATCCACAGCGGTTAGGTGTGCCGACCGCGCAAAGCTGCATTATGAGCGGGCGGCTCATATCGGATCGTTAACATTGCTCTCTGGGTCGCGGCTGCATGTACTGGAGAGGTATCCATGATTTACCAATGTGTTCTGGGCGGTATCTGGGTCAGAGTTTGTTCGTACATTCCTCAGGGATGGCTCACTGCAGTGTGAGAGCAGAGACTGACGCCCTCAGCAGATTACTGACACACCGGTGAGCAGTTTTGTCTCGGCGGGCCAGCACCAGGATCTCGGGTTACTGAGCACTCCGGCGCGGCGAAATGCACCCGGCGGACAGTTACACCGACCGAATGGCCAGCTGTAAATGTCGCCCGATGGCGGACACGGACCGAGTGCTCCGCTAACGAAGGTCACAGCACCGTCCGTGTCCGAAACGTAAGAACACTGCGGTGGAACTGTACCGAGTGGCGCGCAGAGGTTATTCAGCATTAACTACTAAAACAGACTGGAAAATGATGTAGGTAAGTACTGGTGGCTATCTTTAGCGATTATCCACGATGAAAAAGTGCAAAAAAAAAAGATTGAAATGGGCAAATAATAAATTTGCTGCGCAATTTCCCTCAACACATTCAGTGATTATTCCTAACAATGCTCACATTTTTTAATCACATTTTGTGCCTCATGGGTTTTGATACATCTCAGAAAACATTTATCCATCCCAGTCACCTTCACCCTCTGTAAGTCTCTAGCCCGTCACCCCGTCCAGCAGAGCTTGTCACCCTCTGTAGCCGACTTAGACAGAGTACAAATGCACCATAAGAGAGGGGGAGAGGGAGGGAGGGCTGCACCCCGACGCGGTCACATGAACACACCACACTTCCGGCCGGCGCGCCCGCTGCAACAATGCCGCGCCGAGCGCAGATGACGCAGACGATAGCAGACGACATGCCGACATTGCTGACACACCGCCGTCTGAGCGGGTACCGTTACTTGGTTGTTAAAAATTGGACGGGACACTTCCTAGCGTGTGATTTGGTATTGAGTGTTGTAGAAAATAATGCTATAGAATCAGACAATCACCTATGAGAGCAATAGAATAATCAAGAGTAAGAAATCCTCACCATTCTACATTGTTCCTTTATAAAATGTGCATCAGATGCTTGGAGGAATGGTTACATTGAAGTATTCACAAATTATTTTACTTTCAATTGATGGTCTTTAATGATGGAGGATGCATTTCCCTCCGAGGCACTGCTCCCCGTGACAGCAGACAGGGTGCGGCCGACACACCCCTCCCCTCCCCTCCGCACCCCTCCCCAACCGGACCACTGCACTGGCCTTGCCCCGGTGCCATTGGGGTCTGCAGCTGCGCCTGTGGGGGGGAGGGGGACGGGCAGGGGAGGCCGGGGGAGGGCGGGGGAGGGCGCAGATTGTGGTCTGTGGTGAGCCGACCTGTCATGTTGCATAAGCGGCGTTCGGCTGATCCCGAGGCGCGCTGACCGTCCATCGCCGAGCCGCTGAACGGTCATTAGTGCGCAGGTCAGGAACGAAATGAGCGCCATCACGTGGTCACATGCCGGATGCTCATTTTCTTCAAGCATCTAATTTCATGCAGTATTTCATATTAGAATATATGTTTTTAGAAACTTACTCAAACGTTATATGATATGAAAGCCTGCATCAATGGCTGTTTTATTTATCGTGATGGTGATCTGCTGTAAGTTAGGAAAGCCGGTACCGCAAAACGCATTAGCTGGTGTAAATGGATTCGCCGATGGCACCGCTACTAAGCAATTAGCCATGCTCACAGCCAGAAAGAGCGAATGCGAGCCGGCTGGGCCCGTTGGGTCGTCGATTGCTGAGTGTTATGCACCTCAGTTTGTAACGCCCCTCTTCACGACTCTCGGAAAATTGCCGGGCCCAACGGTCGTCTAGACGCGGTTAGCTGGGGCATATCGTAAAACTTATGGAGCATGCAAGTCGCGTGATTGCAGGTAATACATCGCGACAGAACTAACCACAGACTTTTATTTATCGTGTCATACGCTGTTTGTTTGGTAAGCAATGTCTCACTTCCTCACATGCTCAGCATGCGACTCACGTTTTCACGAAATCCCGCAAGACCCAGAGGCTCCGTTCGGAAAAGAAATGACACTCAACGAAGCATCACAAACTCAGAACAGGCTCTCGTACGCTGGCGGGGCCAGACCGGGCGGCTGGCGGCCTCTCATCCCACCCCTGACTGCGGCCCATCTCCGCCCGTGGAGCATCGAGAGCTAACCTCTCCAACCTCCCGTCCTTCGACCATATCCTGGTTGGCGGCCGGTGCCGATCGTACCCCGTTAATCGGGCAGCGTCCGTTGCAGCGTCGCCGGTCGCCGGCCGCGGCGGCAGCCGAGACGGGCCGTTAATCGCGTCTGCCCCGCTTACCGGGTGGCGCGGCGGGGCGGGGCGCGGTGGGGAGGGGTATGGGGTGCCCCAGGTCGTCGCGAGGTGCGGTCGCCTCCACTGCCGCCCCCGCTGCTAGAGACGCTATTGTTGTCAAGACGTCGTCAGAGGTCACAGTCCGACGTAGTGACTGGTCCTCAAGGAGCACCATTTACCAATTCATAAAAATTTCAACATAATTGGTTCACAACACAGATTTTACGTCAGGGCGACGGATTTTATTCATCATCGATAAAGATTTGCCTATTGCGGCAACTGAAATCAGCGTTGTTTGAATGGGCTTTGAGTGAGCGCCGATGGGGGCCAATCGGTCGGTCGGTGGCGCTCTTTCACCAAAATATCGGCGCTTCACTGTTGCGCCACCACCGTGACTCGCCGATCTCCCATTCGAGTCAGGTCTGACGGGAGAAGATGCGCGCGGGTGTCAGCGAGCCATCCTTTCATTCAGCCGGAGCTCGGCGGGATGCCGGCCGCGGAAAAGCTACGCTACCGTGCCGTTCCCACGCCCTCCGGTGTGATTCATTCCTTTCAGGGACGCCACTGATGGGATAGACTGCGGTTTGCCGTCCGCCGCGGAAAACGCACTAAATCAGGGACCATTTACTGCCCGGCAGCCCGTCACTGTTTACTTTCCGTCCGCAGCCGGGGAAAGGGCTAGAAACGTGTCGGCATTTCAGAGCGGATCCACTCGCAACACGGATGCTATTGCGGTCAACCTATCAAAGGAATCTTGACAGAATCAGAATAATGTATCCGCACATGCCCATATACGAGCTGGCTGCATCTTTTCGGCGCGGAGCGGCGGTGGCGGAGATTCCTACTGGTTTTCCCACTCTCAACTGCACAAACAGTAGCGCGGTCATGTCTTGTTTGCATGCAAATCACGTCAGCCCGGCTGGCCATCGGTCTCGATCAGCGTCAGGCCGAGTCCGGCTGGACAGCCCGGCACGTGACAGGACACCCGGCGCGGCAGCGCGGCACTTACTTTTCGTCCAGCTGCATGAACTTCATGTCCATCGAGTGGACGGACGTGAAGACGTTGGTGGCGCCCTGGACCACGCACTCGCGTGTCTCTGGCATGGCGATCGGTGTGCAGGTGGCCACGAAGACGGGCTCGTTCCGACTGCACAGCGGCAGATAGGAGAGGTAGTGACCGCGGATCAGCACCACCTGACGGTCAACGGTCACACGGGGGTCACACAAGGGTCACACAGGGGTCATGGGATCACACAGGAGTACAGAAATGATTTATATAACTTGGATGCACGTCATTCAAGCATCAATGACGGTTATAGCGTATCAATCGTTCCTTTCGTTGTAAAATTGTCCTCAGATATTGAGTAAAGAGCGCTGGTCACTATTCAAGAGATGCAAGCGATGCATGATGCGACAGAAATAGAGCTAGGCAGTTGGCCCACGTCCAAGGCGGATCTCCCTTCAAACCGGAAACTCATTGAAAATAAGCCTAAATATAGTAAATGTCGATGCGTTTCTTAATGATCCGTGCATGATGAAAACTCGCATCAAGCTGGACAGTAAGTTATGATACATGACATGGCAACTCTTGACTGTTTATTGTGTTGTTATGTTGTGTAACTGGGGTGTTAGTGGTATGTGATGAATCAGTTTACTATTTCATTGTTAAATTGTGAAATGAGGCATCCGTTCCCGGACGCAGTACCGGGCTCGTGTAGCGAGGGGTTACTGACTCTGCCACGTTGCAGTCTGCGATAGCAGTGTTAGGTGCTTGTTCTACGTTGTAGTCACCACAGCAGGGTTACCGGCAGATTAAATTAGTGGCTTGTGTGATATTGTAGTCTCCCAAGAGTTATCCCTTGCCGGACCTATTGGTTTTCCACATACGCGCCGGCCGAGGGGGGGGCGGGTACGACCCCCCCCCCTCGCCGTTTCGCCCCTGGTGGAGCTAGCGCGTCGCGGAAAAAACGAGCGTGTGCGCGCCGTTACAAGACGCAGAGATTGGTACATGATTTTAAGGTCCTAGGTCAACTGGTGACCTCTGAGGTCAGGTCAAGTGCCCCAAGGTACGGTTCAGTTTTTGGTGAATAACTTCGCAAAAAACGGCCGCAGAGCCGCGATTTTGGCAGCATCGTGTTCGCCTCGATCAGCCGCGTCGAATGATATACTTTTTGTTCGGGTCAGGTCAACTTGGGGTGTTGATCTCAGGTCGAGGTCAGGTCAGCACCCCCAGGTCACGAAGTTGGTCGAAAGAGGTCATGTTGCATATCATTCGATTTGGCAGGTCTTCCTGAGTCCATTGGTGGCTTCCCCGACTCGCTAGCTCAATTTGATCAAGAGTTATTGACGAAAAACTAATGTGACCTTGATGACGTCATAAATGACGTCACGCAAGGTCAACATTGCAAAAGTGACGAATCTAACCTTGCAAGGAGTGCATAAAATCACGATTCTGTGTGCTTGAGATAGTTGGAGATCGTTCCCGGCGCCAGACATAGCAGTTTTCATTTTTCCCTATTGACTTATAATGGTGAGGTCACGAAAATGACCTGACCTCATATGACCTTAAAGAAAAATCCGAGATACACAAGTTGTGAGACTCATAATGGATACTAGATCCTGCAAGTTTCATTTCAATGTGACATCTCCTCTGGCAGTGAGGGCGTTGCTAAGTTGCGACATCTGAAGACATTGCAGAGGTTCACTTATGACGTCATAGATCAGTGACCTGACCTGACCCAAAAATGCGGTTGGTGTCAAAAGATTTGGCTTGAATCAAAGGTCAGGTATGCCAAGTTTCAGCTCTCTATCGCGAGCTTGTTCGGAGTTATCGCGAAAAAACCCCTATGGGGGGCGGCACCCGCCCCCCCCCCCCTCGGCCGGCGAGGGTTATTATATTTTCAGACCGTATTTTCAGTATCGCTGACAGGGCAGAGCGTATATACGCATTCATTGTTACTATTCTGAGCAGCTTTAGACGTAATTTTGGTTGTTTGTCATGTTCCAGACCATTCCCCGCATGAATGACAGAATTCCGTCAAGACGAAAAATATAACAAAATAAAAACAAACTGAGACAAATGTCAAATTCAACGCTTCGTTTCGCGCACTCTTTAACTATTCGAATGCGATAAAAATTGTTACCGATTACTGTTATTTTCGGGGGTAGTTCACACAAACGGCGAGGTTATTACGGCCATGAAGCTGTAAACAGGTCAACCAGGTGCGGCCGACCAACAATAGCGTACACGGATGTGAGCAGTTACAATTGGCACTGAAACAGCCTATGAGCTTTCCCAGGATGTTCAAGCAGGTTATGGACGCCCAGAATAGACTTGGTGTCAATGCAACATATCATTTAGTCGGAAATGGTAACTGTTGGTAATTGAGGGTACACTGCACATGGTTGTGTACCGGTTGTGGCCGCAGGGCTGTGAGCGCCGTCGCGGTCCACAGTCCACACCCACGTCCCACACACAGCTAGATGGGCACACAAAGGCCCCGGATTAGCGCTGTCGGGAAATACCGGCGGGAAAGCTTGACACATTCTGTCTTCACAGAGCTTTCCAACTCAGCGCCAACACTTCCGCCACGATGGTAACGAGTGGGCGAGCGCTAAATTGCCACTCGAAGCATGGCAACCGCCGGCTCTGACCAACTAGTTTCACCAGCGTGGCGCCCTATCGGTGGACTGGGACGGGGCGGAGAGAGGCCAAGGCTAGGGCTGCCTCCTGGTCTCCACGGCTGTCTCTCTTGTCTCTAGGGCTGTCTCCTGGTCTTTTGGGTTATATCCTGGTCTCTAGAGCCGTCTCCTGATCTGAGTCTGTCTATTGGTTTCCTAGGGCTATCTCCTGGTATAGTTATGGGCTATGGCTAGTCCTGGTCTACAGAGGGCTCTAATCTCCTGATCTCTAAGGCTCCTCCTCCTGATCCTGATCCTGGGATCCTGATCTCTAAGGCTGGTTTCTAGTCTCTAGCGCTAAATCCTGGTCTCTAGGACTGTTTTCTAGTCTCTAGGGCTATTCCTCGTCTCTATGGTCATCTTCTAGTCTCTGGGGCCATCTTCTAGTCCCTCACCTTCTGATCACCGAACCGCATCTGCCGCCGGGCGTTCCTGGAGACGTTCATCCGACAGAGAAACATCCTTGGGTCGTCAGCGGGCGCGGCGGTGGCGGCCGGCGCGCGCATCAGCTCCGCCTGGATCGCCTGGTGGTCCTGCTTGTCGATGATGTCGTATACCGAGTCTCCGTGGATCAGTAGGTCCTCCTGAGGAGGGAGACGTTGTGGTCACAAAGGGGGACATGTGGGAGCGCCGACCCGACCCGACCGACGCAGGGGTGTGCGAAGGAAAAGGTGCAGAGTCACTGCCCGGCTCCGGTCTCTGAGTGTGTGTATGTGAGCAGCCCTGGCCAGATTGGCTCATCAGAGCGGACAAAAGGAGCGGAAGGCATTCGGTCATCACTTTAGCCAGGATTGATTACAGCCGGGGACCACCCTCCGCAATGACCATCTGAAATAGTAAGATGGATGAATTTAATAGCTGACGCCAGCCAGCGCAACTTCCTGCGTTTTGCATATCATTTCGCCTCGCGTTACATTTAATGCAAACTGTGTTACTCTTTAATTATGCCTAATGGTACTAAAATATATCAGCGTCCTTTTTATGGTGGCGTATAAAAATGACGTCCCATACTGAGCTAAGGGAGGCAGTAAAATACAACGAAACACTCATAAAAAGCTCTGTGGGAGAGCTAGTGAGAACAATCCAACTAAATACCGAAAATATGTGATGCGATATAAACGGAGGACAATAAAGGCAATGAATATAAACGAAACAAAAAGAAAGAGCAGAACGATGTCGATATCCGCTTTGATGTCTGATGATGAGTTAATGGCCGATGCTTATAAATTACGGCTTGTTATCACATTATGAGAGCTTAGCGTGCTGGTGGCCGTTACCACGCCATTACAGAGAGCCATCGTGTAGTCAATCGCCATTTGAGCCGAGAGTAGAGGAGAGAGGAGCACTCCGCGGCATCCCCGGTCGGCCTGCCAATCACGACTACATTGCTGCGGAGCTCGGCGGAATGAGCTGGGTCGGCCGGCCGCAGCTCGGTTCGGATGGTCGGATTGACGAGATGGTCTGGTCGCTGGTGGTGTGATGGTCTGATGGTCTGATGGTCTGGCGGATGGGCTGACGGTGAACCGAGTCAGACTGTTTAACGGACCAGACCAGACCAGGCAGTCTGCTAGACCTGCCCACCACAGCAGGCCGGAATAAGGAGATGATTTGGAGCCTCCCACCGATAACCATCGCCTGATGACGCCTCTGCCGCCGGAGCACAGGCCGATTTATTCAGGCCGCCGTGGCCGGCCGGCCGGCCGGCCAGGGCGTGGCTATACGATGACGCCTGCATCCGGCTGGTCAATTTATGGTGCCGACGGCGCCGGCAATGGGTATCGGCCGCCCGCCGATCAGCCGCGATTAGCTCCCCGGCTCAGGGGTTCGGCCAGTTGACGCCGTCGCCGGGCCGCTCGATTAGACCTCCGTATGGGAATTCCGTCAGCCCGGCAGCGCCGCCCGGCCGGCCGGGACTCGAGCTGCGATATCCGGTTGTGCCGCTCAGCGGAGGGTGAAGAGAGACGAGGCGCCATCAGAGGGTTTAATTTTATTTCATTTATGTTGCATTACGTTGATAAATTGCCAGTCAGGTCGGTGTCCACTTAACGTCAAGTTATTGCTGCAGCTGATGCTCGGTACCATCCACTATAGGCAGACGTATCATGCATTCGAAGGCATAATGGGAATTAAATACCGGATGAAATTGCATGGGTGTTGTGATGTGGATGAAACACGTCAATCTTCTTAGTTTATCTTTGGTTAGCTCTATCATTTCGGCGAATCGATACCCTTATATGACCGCAGACCGCTCTCCCAAGCGTCAATTGCAATTTGCAGGTATGTTGGCAAACCTATATGTGATACTTCTGTCTTATAGTGAACATTTTAGTTTCCTTGCAACTGGGTAACATCAGGGATAATAAGGTATAATGTCATCGGAATCCTCGCTGATGAGTGGTATTACCGTCTGAATGTCATCGAAACAGCTCAATGATCTATTGCGGGGAAAACCCAACTAAGCCGGATGTGTTTTATACCCGGAGTGCATAGGGGAGCAGGCATGTGCGGTTTAACTGCCGGCGCCAGGTGGCACTTTAATTTCCCCCCGTCGGTCCGAAGACACATGTGGACAAAACAGACGCCATGATTGCACAACGTCTTAAAGAAAACCTGTGCAATTTCCGCCCGAGGTGTGAAGCGGCCGTCACTGCGCCACCAGTAGGCAACGTTTCCATGGCAACCCGCGGCGACAACGGCCAGCACGCGGTGCCACTTGCGGTTTTGCGGCGAAATTAACGGCGGGCACTGCGCGCGGTGTCGGCCGGGCGCCGCTGTCGGTCGTCATGTGGCGCGCGGTGTTCCGCGGACGCGCCGTGACCGTCGCGACCAACTGAGCTGGCGCCGGCACAGATGACGTCAGACGAGCACGTGACCCTGTCGGCCGCGGTAGCCGGCGGGTTCCCACGGCGGCGCGGCGGCGGCGCCGGCATTGTCGCGCCGTCCGAGCGCGCCGCGCGCTGAGAAATGAGCCGCAGCGCCGGCCGTGTATGGAGGATGCACGCGCCACAATGCCGGCAGGCGCTGCCGCATACATCACCGCTGCCGAAGCGTCGAATCACGGTATCATTAGTAGGCTACTTTGTCGGCCGCTCGGCCGGCTGTGAATGCAACTAATTGCCGCCCGGGCGGCTGAAGGGATGAAAAGGAGTGGGACGGAGCCGGGCGGCCACCCCCGCTCGGATATGTGGACAGTAGCCGCCTCGGACCGCTCCGAGGCGGGGATCACAGACGACGGTAGAAGGTCACCGTAGCGCAGTGAAATGGTCACGACTGCCGCTCTCGTTATGACGATATAATAATGCAGAATAGCGGAATATATCGTATGTTGTATATGTTGCTATTCAGTGTCCAAAGTAGTGAAGATGCGTGTTTTTCTAGGTTTTATGTTGGAAAATACCTCCAGTCAACATCTATCTTTGAGACACCGCCGGTGGACGTCCGTGTCAACCTCAAAATCGTCCATGCTTAAACTGACAGCAATGAATTGGACTATTTCCGCACCGAAGTACCCAATGACCGCATCGAAGGTCGGGTCGGTGCGTGCATCTATCCGCTGGTGTTCGCCCTGAACTGCTTGTGTCCACGCCGATCCGCTGTCTCCGCACCAAACCGCTGTCCCCGCACCGAGCCGGACAGAATCCGGCGGCGTCGTCGCGGCGTCGCCCTTGGCAGTGCAGCGGGCCGCTCCGCTCCGGTCGCACCAATTGTTTACGGTTGTATCCATGGTTCCGCCGGGCGCGGCCGGCTCAATGAGGCCGTGATGAGTTGCAAGTTGCATCGCAAGGGACGCGGCCGCCGCGCGCCCGACAAAGGCCCGGTAATGACTGAGACATCCTGGCCTGGTCCGGGTCCGGTCAGTGTCAAATTGGAGCCTGAACTACCCGACCGGCTGGGTAATTTACAACACAGTCTGTGCTGTTATACACGAGTAGGTGGCAATTCCAATTCGACGTGGTTCGCAACACGCTACGAAGGCTGAACGTTCGACGTGTTGTTACATTGTTAGCAACGACGAAAATAATTATTTTTGGCACGCAATGTTGACTGCAATGGGAAAACCAATAACTGCACTACGCAACAGTTGACCCCTATTCAACCTCGACAGCCAAATCAGACATACTGATAAAAGGCTCTAAATTTGTGCACATACTAACTGTAACCCTTTAGAAAAGAAGGCACAGCAATAAAAGACTCTTTACCACAGAGCTTTATCAATCCGATCTGATTCATTAGAGGGAATGATTTCTGCAACTTACGACTCGGACAAAGGCCAAAAGCACTGCAGCTAGATGGTCGCTGCAGAGGGCTGACATGGTTAGCGTTCGAGGGGCGTGTCCACACCGAGTAACACTCTGTCCTCAGGAGGCCACGCCCCCCGGGTGCTGCGTATTCCCACGCCCGTCAGCTGGCATCTCGCTACCATCTGCCTGACAGCTACCAGAGAAGGATACAAACTGGTAGCGCCTCACAATCTCCGGAGGTGCGCGTGACACTACATACGGTCAGAATAACGGTTGACTTGTAACTGCCCTCGCCACGCCTTTCCAGCCGCACCCACCGGCCGGTGACCTATTCACTCACTCTCGCTAGCATTTACGTCATTGTGCCCTTTTGAAGCAAGTCAGTGAACTTGCGTTGCAAACTGCACAGGTCCACGGCCACCAATAGAGAGCTGAGACATTATGATAATGACACAATGCGCTTTGTTGCACTGTGCCCCGCACCAGAAGGCTGGAGTACCTAGTCGGAAGTAGGAAAATGAACCTCCGAGCCAGCCAAGGTGCAAGGTCAGCCCCCTGAAACGGGACGCAATAAGTGAACGGAAACACGCGTCGTTTACTGCGACACGGATCTGGAATGAAATCACGGGGCATGTGCAGCGAATGGTGCGATATGAGCAAGCGCCTTGCAATTAAGATACTATGGACAAAATTAATAATCATAAACAGTGCACAAAAATAAAAGACATAAGAGAAGAATGCACAGAGAAAAAGAGGGAAAGGAGGTGCGAGACAGAGGGAGAGATCAGAGAGAGCTTGGGAAAATGACCAACGGATAATTAATTACCCATTGAAAGTAAAATACAGGCTTCGTATGCATACCACTCAAAAAGTACGTTCAAACACAGGTACTTAAAATGATTTGCTTCTCACTATACCTAATTCTAAGTTCCCATTAAACAGACATTACGATAATTCTGAGCATGCCCAGCTAAAGACTTAGGTAGGTACCAAAAACGCTGAGCTTGTCGCCACTATTTTTTTACTTCATATGCGCCTGCTGCCTACAATTGCTCTTACATGTGTGCTTCAACGTTAGTAGCATGACTAACATGATGTTCTCGAGTTGACATCGGAAAACAGGAATAGGATAGAAGGAACGGTAAAAACACAGACCACCTGCTGGTTTAAAAACGCGGATGATATCATATGTCATCATTCAATGTATTCAGGGTGATGTAGTCACTTAGTGACGGGAAAATCGGTGTACGTTAGCCAAGACGTCACCAGTCAACAATCGAGGGGAACACTGGGCCCTAACGTATGGAGTCTTTCCGTGTAGCATTCATGTTGAAATAAGCATA